CCTAAAGCCATTGACATATCATGTTTCTTTGTAATGCACAAACCTATCAACACTTTGAAAATCGGCATTGAAACAACAATATTTGAATGAAACTATAAAAAAATGCTTTTAGACGTTTGTGCTGTCTTTGAAATTACGGTTGCTACGGCGTTGCTAAGTAGGCTAATAATGTACTGATTCAACTGTCAACTTCAGAATTAAGATAGCATTGGTATACCTGAAATTTGATTTTTTTCAATAGTTTGATTCGCGGTCCAATAGGAATCTTCATCTCCTTCAAGGTGTCTTCCATTAAAATGAGAAATGCCTCCTCGTCGATCATATTTTCTAAAAAAATGCAATTCGAAAAACATCCGTTTCTTGAAGAAAAAGCTCAAAAACAAAATAATATAGCTTAAGCTAAGAACTAAATAATATAGACACTGCATTTACTTACCTTCGAAAACATCTTTCAAGCAGGAAAGATTCCATTCTTCAAGTTTTACTTCGACCTAATTGCCCATAATTTTTTTGATGGGACTGAAACTTTGTAGTTGTACTTGCTGGTACAGTTTACAAGAGAAGTAAAATTTGATAATCGTTACCTATCGTCAAATACCGAGGGGTGCTCGCTCGTGTCATGTGACTGTTCATGGAGCATTGTTGTCGATTATCGTTTGGTTGATTATTGTCCTTCGTGTATTACTGTGTGACTTTGTTTTATCTGCTTGTAATTCGAAGCTTTCATATTCTTCCAGAGAAGATTTTGGTATTACAGTTATATTTAAGTCTATAATACTGTGAAATGGCTGGTGATAATCAATGATGTAAACAATGTCATATTTTGGCGACAGTCAGGCAATAATTTTCTCATCAACTGAATTTCGTGTACCAAATGGCATTCTTTGAATAAGCTAAGCTGCTTTTTGTCAGTACAAGATGTTTGACGATAATAATAGACGGTGTTATAATCAGTTATAATCATGGAAATTCTTTATTATATGAGTTGAAAGTATATTTAATTCAGAAGGTTATTTTCCTAAATTTCAATGTTTGTTGTTAACTGTTCTACTAGCTTCACTGATCTCTATAATGATCAGGTTCTGATGCCTGGTGAAGCTAGTTTCAGGCCAAGTACCTCACAGGTCTAGAATACAAGGGTGGCCAAGGATTAATAATAACTAGTAAGATAGAACAAATATTTATAAATGCCTGTTTTTCTGTATTAGTTTCTATTGAAATCAATTGTCATTAGAGATTACATAACAAAAATATATGAATTTTGGCATCCCGGTTATCAATCCTCCATTGCCCTTGCTGGAATCACAGTTTATACTTAATCAAGCATGTAAAGTTGACTCTATTATTCAGCTCTTCCTGTGTGACTTGTGTACAAAGATAGTAAATTATTTAAGTTGTCGAACATTTCAAAACTTATACAAATTGTCATGAACATTTATAGCTTTGAGACAAAATGTTGTACTTTTGGAGATTGTACCTAGTATTAAGACAAACACTACTTACCATGAAGACAGTGTATTTTAGAATTGTAATGAAATTATATTATGTGAAACCATATTTAATATATGTATTTTATATTTAATATATTATTGTGTTTTATAGTCAAGTGCCTGTTGATTTAACTTTTCTTCTCCTAGCTTCTCAGACCTTTATCATGACCAGGCTTTATGGATAATGTTAGTTTGAGGACAATTCTCTTAGGTCTGCCATCACAGTTTATAAAGGCTTAAGCATAGACTTGAAACGATTATTCAGCTCTTGCTGTGTGACAAGTCTCCCAAAATTGTCAATTTTTCTGGGGGTCAATCATTCCAAAATTATTGTTTAGATTTTCATGAGTAAATTTATAACTGTCAGGTACAAAACGGAGTGCTTGAGAAGATTTGAACTGGTATTTGATTCATGTGCAATAACTTGGAACACGCATACAACAATCATAATTGTTCAGAAATACACTGATTAGAATTACACTGATTATTTTAAATACTGTAGCACATGGTTGTTTGCTAACTTTTAAATTTCAACACCATCAAAGCTGTACTGTTGATGAATGTAGCTACTAATGTTATTAATTCTGATGGAAACATATTTATACTTTAGAATTCTCACCACTGGTTTTGATCTAAATCTTTATTCAATAAAAATATGACTTTTCACTAAAACTGTATTTCCTAAGTTCAAAGTGTCGAGCTGTTCTCGTACTTCTCGATCAGCCATTTTTTTCCTCATTTCATGAAAGCTTAACGAAGCAGTTGCTCTCGGTCTCAGATGACAGGGTTTTCTTCATTTTTTATCTCAGGTGGCCGTCCAATCCCGGAATCCGCCCAGGGTTATTTCGTTAGCTATCATCAAACGATCAAAAGAAACGTACGTATTCTCAACTAATTATTTAAGATCAATGGTGTTTGTCCAGCTTAGTGCTTTGCTTTCATCACTCGGATATTGTCATGAGCTGTATGCAATATACTAGTTGTTTTCCCCACCCCTTAAACTATTGACAGCATTTAAATATCGTATTCCAACTATTGGGATCTTCTCAAATTTTCTAAATAAGTTTAGCGACACTCGAAAAAGTTTGTTTTATTTTTTGTTTTTGTAAAAGCATTAATGGCGCAAATTATAAACAAATGGGGTTGAATTTCATTCAATCAGGATTTTTTAACCAGGATGTTTTTAGAGTGTAATGCGGCGTTATGCTTCCAAAGTTGATATTTATCTTGCTTTTTTGAAAATCATGCAGCATAAAGACGTAATATTAAAGTGTTTGGGGTAGTTAAAAGTATCTTAACTGCAATATGGCAAATAAGGGGGGTGCCTCCCAACAAGAGGAGGCTCGTACGCCCATGTCGGTTGGACAAGTGTCAACACTTCAATATGCCAAGATAACATACCAGACGTTTCTTGAATCGGTTATCTTTCTATCATTAACGGCACCTCCAACATAGTATTCAAGAATCAACGTAATTCTCAAAAGAAAGAGGAAATTGCCGACAAATTGCAGCTACAATACGTAACACTGCTTTTTAACGAAGCAGTGTATGCTAAAACCAGATTTGTAAGGTAGAAGAGTGAAGTTTTCTTTATTTATTTTGTAGTAAGACCAGGGGAATTTCACACAATTATGTCATTTCTCTCAGAAATTTCAAAGATTTTTCAGGATGGAGATTTGGAGATGAAAAGCAAGTTGCAATAAGCTGTTTACAATATTTTCGGTCAATAAAATATTCACTCACATCTAACGTGTAAATATATATTAAACATTTCTTATATTTATTTGGGACATATAAATCAAATCTGGGCTAGTTGGGAAAGGCTTAGTGAAAGGTGTTTTATCAGGCAAACATAACAGGTTCGTTTCCTAAAAATGACGTACAAATGACATGTGGCATCTTTATTCATGCAAGGGTACAAAAATTTAAAACAATCAACTTTAACAGAAATACAGTTTCTATACAAGTATTTTATCGTAAAACTATGGATTTTTACACTCTAAACAAAGAAAAACACCTAAAATTAGAGAACTGTTTTCGCACTTTCATTCATATGATAGAATCATTATTTCCTCGCCTAGATTAAATATTAATAAAGAAAATGATTTTGAAACAAATCACTTTGCTTTAATAGTTTGTAAGGCGAGAATAATGTCGAGCAAAAGACAGAAGCATTTTAAATAAGCCATCCATAAGAAGGCAAAATTAGGAAAAGGCATACGCTGGTTATGGTTAAAAATAATATACATGCTACAGTCTCAGTCAGCATTAAGCTAATTTACATGAGTGTTGTGGTTAGTTAACTAACAAGGATGTGAATTAGCAATATATTTTCACATAAAAAAGTAAATTATCGTTCTAATAATATGGCTAAATGCCCATTAAAACATTTAATACTACACTAGTGCGTTCAGTACTTATATATGCTGAAATATATTGAGCCATATAACAGACCTGAATAAGCACTTGTTTGTTAATACATCAAATCTTTTGTGCTAAAATCTGGTAAGCTGTGGGATCGACATAGTCCACACTTCCGTCGTTATTTACAAATATTTCGCTGAAACTTTCCAGCCCAATCGGTGAAATTACTTTGCCATCATGATAGTCTGAGGCAACAAGGTAGTTGAGAAAATCCAAGATCGACTTGTGCTGGTAATTGACTGTGTGATAGTCACTTGAAAGAATTTCAAAACCACATTTCTTGAGAAGACCTTCTACCTCAAACTTTTTGATAAAGAATGGAACTGCCTTTTCATTTTCTTTGTGTTTCTTTTAAGTACGAGATTAGGAGTGCAAAAAATCATTTCGTTTGCCTTTGTAATTAATTGTGGATCTACCTCATGACTCTGTAGTGCAATTATTCCTCCATGTTTTAAACTCTCGAAGGCAACTCTCGCATACTCCTCCTTCCTTTCTGGAGAAAGCCATTGGAAAACAAAACTGCTAAAATGAACATCGTAGTAGGATTTGCTTCGTTGATGAAACTCAGTAGAACTATCGCCATTCTCAAATACCAGGTTTTCGTGCAAGCTCAAATGCTTTTGCTTTGCATATTCAATACGCCCGATGTCTGGATCTACGCCGACCACTTGACCATCTCTACCAACAATTTCTGCAAGAAATGAAGTGAGCTCTCCCGTTCCGCATCCCATATCTAAGATTTTGTCTCCATTTTGAACACCAGCTATTTCTATGAATTTCTTTCCATTACTTACTTGTAAATCATTATTGATGGAATATGCCACTGCAGTCTTATAACTTCGTTGATTAAACACCGCTTGTAGTTGTGCTGTCATTTTAAATAAAATTTACAACTCACTGAGATGGTCAAGATGAACACTGTTGTACTTTCAATGCAAGTAATTCTGGCACGGCTCGATTTTTATGGCAACGCTTACGTGTACAAATGACGTCAGTCAAAATAAAAATAATCTCAAAATATATTTTCCAGTTAAAACACAACGTTGTTACGTCGTCAATACTAATTTGAATTATGGTTGCAATGTTCACCATTATTCAAATGATATAATACAGACGTCATTTGGTCGACAGTTTTCAATTTTTAAATTTGTACGCATTTTTTATGACGTTTAAGGCTTAACAACAATGCTTAAGCTTTGTAGGCATTAGATTGAATTTAAATCAAAGTTTGAAATTTGACGTTATTTGATGTTTTTGTCATTTTTATTTGACCTTGTTATAGGTCTCCCATACAAGACAATGACTATAGTCGTAGTTTTGAAATAAAATGTAGCAGTATTATTATAAAACGTTACTAGCACAAGAGAAATGGTTTGTTAGTAACTCATTTAAAATTTGAAATTGTTGTAGCATTTTATCTTCGACACAACTTGAAGGTAGTCGGAGAGAATTTTGCATGCGATGGCATATCCATCCGATGGTAGGTCAGATAAATTGTTTGCTACAACTTATTTATTGTAATATTTTCTACAGTGTGAAGTTGTAAAATGTACACATGTCTTTATGCAAATGTCATGATTTATGAATAAAAAGGTCAGTTAAAGTTCATTGCTAGATATCTCTTTACCATTTTACTGTGAATTTGTGAAGTGATCGATCATTTTATTTATCATTTAAAATTATTAAATTTGTTTTATTCTTTGTCAATAGAAAAGTGACAGTTTCAAAGAATGACAGATAGTGTCACGTCATTAAATACGAAAACATAATATAAACAGACACGTAAGTGCAACGAATCGTAGAACTGCGTTTTAATGGCTGCCCTGTATTTACTTGGCCTCTCGTAAATTCTTTCAGCGCCATGACTCCACCGCTGTTTCAATGTTAGTTCAACAAGATGGTTTTGACATCTTTTATTGTTAAATTCAGTACGGGTCGAATTCAGTCAAAAAAATACGGACGAATTTATCACCGTAGTCAATTGAAACTGTGCTTACTCATAACTTAAATACTATTTGCCTATTGTGCATAAGTGCGAGCAGTAAAGATCCCAACACTGCTTTTAATCATACGGCGCAAAGGTTTTACAATTCATTGACTAAAATGGCAACGTATGGGATACGTTTTCTAAAGAACGAACTTATACCAACATTTGCGGGTAAACTACAAAGATGCAAAACAGAGCGTCAAGAATAATCACCTATAAAGAGAAACATGGTGTGATTGTTTCAACATTGAGTTTACTACGTCATTTGATGTCCAACCATTATCTGACGTAAGTTTCATTTTATTAGTTTTGAGCAATTTTGACATTTTCTAAACGTCACAGGCCGACACCGAGCAATGACGGATCCAGACTACGTCAAAATAAATTACTGCAGTACAGCTGGCCTACTTAACATTCATGTTTTGTCAATACAATTGTGACGTTATTTTTCCAATACTATAATAAATTGCCCTGCTGAGTGCTGAATATCATCAATAACAAATGTATGTATTTCACTTTTGTCATTAACTTTTGTGAATTTCCCAGCTTAGATTACAAGTTTATGTAATTTATGACCATATTGCAACATAGTAGTTGTCTTCGCCAGCTAATTAAAATAATAAATTTACTAGCAACGAAGCCGCTCGGATAATGTAATCGAGACTTGTTCATCAGTTATTATAATCATAATGGTGGCATGATAACAAGAAACATTGAGACAGTCAAGAAAATCGTCCAGTGTGTACATGCTGTTATAACTTTTGATGATTTCAAAACCATTTCTTGAATAAAGACATACGGCATCAACTTTAGAGCATAAGAAATAAAGTCTCTTTTCAATTAAATTTGTCAATGTTATAAGGTCAGTCAAAGCTCATTGCTTCAGACGGACTTATTTGGGCTCACAAAACTCATAACAAAAAAAAACTTATGTTTTCCAAAGAACTATTTATGTTTGAAATGTAAATAAACGCGTACACCAGAAAAGGTTTTGAAAACGCAATTGGAAACGACGTAGGATGAATGACGCTATATGACGCAGAAAAGTCGACATTGGAATAATAGACCTTTTCAAGGTTATCCGTTATCGCAGCCATATTGCAGGGGGTGCAAAAGCATTGTGCCGAGCGCGTGGTCACTCATGGCGTCCATATAAATTACTAATAAATGCGCAAAATTACCCTATACATAATGGCCATTTCTTTCAAAATACTTTCAAACTCGTCTATTTTAATAGTCGAATTATTATTTGCGATTTTTTATACATGTGGGTCCAATTTTTTGGTAATCAAAAAGCGGAAAGTTAAAAAAAACATTGTTTTCTTTGAACAACTTGACCGTCATTTGAGCGATGTTCTTGAGTTCGCAAATGTGCGGAACTCATAAGCCAAGTCAAACGAACTAAACCCTAAACTAGCCAAGTAGCCGTGAGCAGTCATAGCCGAAATGGTAAAAAATGCGCGTTGTGCAGTTGGATATTGCGATAATGATAAACGCTAGCCTGATTATCAAGTTAAGAGGTCTCACGTAGAAAAGTTAGTTTTTCAAAAGTGGCCCAAAGATCAAGCACTTGCTGAAATTTGGCGAAAACAAATTGCAAACAGCAGAGCCGATGACTTTAACCCAAAGCCTGGTGCACAAGGTACTTTAGTTTGCTCAAATTATTTTCCCTTGGGAAGAAGAACCCCAAATAACTGCGGAACGGATTATCCTTCGGTTTTTATTACGCTATCAGAGTACGAGCAATCGTGGACTCCGCTTAAACGTAAAGGAAGAGAAACATAGACGACATCAAAGCGTCCTCATCAAGCCTATGACACCGAGGATTCTGATTCAAGTTTTGATGGAAATCCAGCAAAATCTAAGGCATCTTTACTCCCTGTCCCTTTGGAATTTGAACAGTTGACGAGAGAGTATGATGTAAGGTTTCACACCGGCCTGCCATCGACTAACAGTTTTAAGTGTGTATTTGAATACTTGGCTATTTTTTCTTCTGGCTGTTAAGTCGCCATACATAATAATTAAAATAGCAATGTCACTTTACAAATAATTGGAAATACTAATAACAGTTTGCCGTAGAATAGTTCCTCGTGATACTTGCTGGACTTTGCTGTAGACATGTACGTGTGTTCCGAACTCAAGAACATCGCTCAAACGACGGTCAAGTTGTTCAAAGAAAACAAATGTTTTCTTTAACTTTCCGCTTTTTGATTACCACAAAATTGGACTCACATGTATAAAACACCGCAAATAACAATTCGACTATTAAAATGGATGAGTCTGAGAAATATATTTGAAAGAAATGGCCAATATGTATAAGGGTAATTTTTGCGCATTTATTAGTAATTTATATGGACGCCATGCGTGACCGCGCGCTCGGCCCAATGTTTTTGCACCCCCTGCAATATGGCTGCGATAACCTTGAAAAGGTCTATTGTCTCATGTGATGTCAATCTGTCAAGTAAGAATTCATGACGCTATGTTTTGTTTATATATTGTAATTTAGCTCCAATATTTTGACCATAAGCAAACCAATTAAGCACTTGAGCATGATAATCATCTTAATCAATTAAATATGGATGAATCATCGATTGCTATATGCTGTTAAGACTGAATTGATTTCGATTGCATATATTTCAAACTTCCCCTAAAAGTAAACGTTTAAAAACAGCCTCTTCGAATTGATGCTCAAAGAGCGTTGAAATATAAATATTAAAAGATATCCAACAAGACAAACACAAAGCAAACAAAAACAGATGTTTAAAAGCAATTGTATGCCATTTATTAAACTTTAAACATACACTAATATATGGTCATAACATTTGTTACTTAGCTGAAGTAAATCATGTCGAATGCCTTCCCGTTTTTTAACACCACCGTTTTTTCTCTTAAACAAAAACAGAAAAATTTGAGAACTTTAATATTGGGGAATAAGAATAAACAACTGCATACCATTATTTATATGACTTTTATACTACTATGGCAAGCCAACGAAGAAATGAATTCCCTAATCTTATATCACTCTACAGTGTATTTCTAAATTAGCTGATACATTTGATACACTGCGTAATTGCGTAATGTAGTACAATGTTTAAATGTAGGTAATAAATACATTGCAGCAGTCAAATTTGATGTATGTTAACTGACGTAACAAAAATACATTTCTAGCGATGTATAATGTGTTGTTCTCATAGTTGTTGTTTTAGTCCCATCAACTTATCATCAAGAGAATTCTTAATCATGAATCAAGCAATTCATTTCACCAATATGTGAAAAACGTCGAAAAACGTCTACATTTTCATATGTCAATAAAATCGATGTATCATTAAGACGGGTAATTATAGAAACAGAGGTGCTCATAATCTTTGCTAAAAGCGTAAGACAAATTCTTGCGCAAGACCAATTGATTTGTTGTATGAAAATATGTTACAATTTATTCCACTGATTTTCATCTCTTAGATAACAGTTTTAAGCATTATCACTCTCTTTAACAAACATCAAAACTACGTATTCAAATTTCGCAAAATTCAACAAATTAATATACTGTCGAGAAAATGACGTGAAAATGACGTAAATCTTTTTTGAGGTTTATCGACGATGTAACCTAAAGTCCACTTTACATTGACGTCAAGACAACAACGTATATCTATTAAAGAAAAATTACTGGAGCTAGTGTTTACATGTATTATGACGTAATGAGTACACGTGACGTTTCAACAAAAGTTCTGTAAGCCGATGACTTTTTTAAAATCAAAGTTACAGTGTCTTATGTAGATAAGACACGTTGCTCGTACTTATTTGGACTATCTCAGTGAGTTGTAGATTGTTTTCCAAATAATGATAACATCACTAGAAACAGCGCTCGACAAACAAATTTATTGGGCTGCTGCAAGGTACTCTAAAATAAACAATTTTCAACTACATTATGGCAAAAAGCTCGCAGCAAAAGTTGGCATTAAACAAGGTGATAAAATTTTGGATATGGGTTGCGGAACGGGAGAGCTGACCTCGTTTATTGGGGAGATTGTAGGAAAACAAGATCGAGTGGTTGGTGTTGATCCAGACATAGATGGAATTCACTACGCCAATCAACACAATTGTAACGTGAATGAAAACGTTTCATTTGAAATTGGCGACAGTTCAAGTAAATTTGTACAGCCAAACAAATCCTTCTACGATGCCCATTTCAGCAATTTTTCCTTTCAATGGCTTACATTGGATGAAAAGAAAGAGTTTTCGCAAACGGCTTTCGAATGTCTAAAACCAAATGGCCAAATAGCTCTCAAGAGTCACGAAGGCTATCCGGAAATAGCTCTATTTGCAGAATATTTAATCTCAAAGAAACAGAACGCTTTGACTTATATCAATGATAAGAAACTGATTCAATTTTTTATATCTAAAGATGAAACAACATCTCTTATTGAAGAAATGGGCTTTGTAATCATTTCAAGTGATTATGATATTGGAAAACAACGATACGAAACACTAGACGATTTTCTCAACTTTTTTAGCGCTTTTGATTATCATGCCACAAGCATGTCCTACAGTGAGAGAAAAGAATTTATGGCACGTTTTGGCAACGAAGATGGAAGTGTAAATTTGGTGGACGATACATTGTACCAGATTGTTACAAGAAAGAACTGCAGAAGCGGTTAGATAACCGATGTTAATATTTCAATTGCCTTCATGCAATTGATTACTACATTTAAACAATAATAAACACTGATATATAGCTTGTTGTATTATAAGACACTCACCCTAACATTTAACACACTCACCGTCATTTTTATGACACTCACCCTAACTTTTACGACACTCACTATTACTTTTAGGACACTCACAATAACTTTTAAGGCACTCACCCTCACTTTTAGGACACTCAGCCTAACTTTTAAGTCACTCACCCTAACTTTTAAGTCACTCACCCTAACTTTTAAAAACTCACTCTTACTTTAAGACACTCGCCCTAACTTTTAAAAACTCACTCTTACTTTAAGGCACTCACCCTAACTTTAGGACACTCATCCTAACTTTTAAACAATCACTCTTACTTTTAGGACACTCACCCTAAATTTTAAACACTCGCCCTTACTTTTAAGACGTTTCAAACTTTTGAAAAATTGGTTATATTTTCTTTACGATAATGAAACTTTGTAATTGTAGAACCAATATCGTAGTACAGAGTGTTATATATTACAGAGTGTTATAAATTACAAGGTGTAGGGATGACACTGTCATCACTATATGCTTTCCGCGCAGCAAATATATTGTCACAATATTTAATGAAAATATAATATTTTATAAATCCTAAGTTGTGTTAACTTTTAAACAGACTTTGAAACAACATGTTGAGTGATGCTGTTAGTCTATTTGCTAACCAAGAAAACGTCTGAAAACAGCCTGATGGAAATGCTGTCGGTAAGCAATGATAAAGACTTCTTAGTGAATTGCATGCAACGCTTGTGTCGATATAACCCGCACCACGTATCCACGAGTTTTGGTTATTGGTAAAACATACTGAAACCTGACCGGCACAAATGTGCGTCGAAGGACGACAACTCGTTGACGAAACTTCATTTTTAGACACAGTCCTTTTACGCTCTATGCAACATACTATGTATTTTCTATAGCTTATCCACAAGATCATAAGTATGTATTTCTTTTATTGATTCCGTTTTGTTGAGTTGCAGTACACTGCTACCAATAGAATTAGCTTGCAAAAATTCATTAAAGCTCTTGCCAGTTTAAAGTAAGCATTAAGTGGACATTTAAGGCATTACTCTGGACATGTAGACCATTTTTTCTGTTACGGTGTACGCATGTTTTTTGTTGGCGTATCTAGCTCAATTGCTGAGGGGAATACTCAAGGGTGGCTGAGTAATGAGAATTGGGGGGCGCTATTATTCATTCGTGCCCGTTCTACTTTACATTGAAATCAATTCGTTTCAGGAATTATAACATTTGAATATATTAATTTACCCCCTCCCCCCTCCCAATTATCAATGTTCTGCCAATGGTAGAGTACTTATGTTTGCCAATACTCTATCAATAGTAGAGTATTTATGTTTGCATGTTGAATCTCGTTACTTTTTCTTGAATCAAATCTTTTTTTTTATAATAACACGCATTTTTAATATTTGCCACCCTTCACTCCATTCTCGAGATAGCTACGCCCATTCCATTTTCTGTTGAAATAATGAGATTGTTTTTAATCTATTTTAATTTATTCTTATTATAGATTCAGAGTTCGTTTTAACCCCATTGAAGCACTACCTCCCGTATTTGTGCCCTAAAAGTACAGCATTCTTTGTAATTACTTTTACCCTAAATTTATGGGAAATTGCATGTCCATCAAAATTACCCCTTTAAAATTTACCCCTATAAATTTTACCCCTTGATAAATTTCACCCCTGAATAGACTTTACCCCTAACTAAATATAACCACCGTAAATTTTACCCTTAAATAAATATTACCCCCATAAAATGTTACCCTTCAAAACCGGGACATTCTGTGGCACTCATTTAACTCCTAACTTTAAGGGTAATTTTTACCCCCCAAAATTTACAGTGTGTGCAGAGTTTGTTCTGATGTATTTGCTGACAAAAGGAAGAGAAGGTCAGTTTGCAAAGTGTATCTGGAACATTGTTCACTACCAACATTTATTCATGCATGACCTTAAAGACAATTGGAAAATGTTATTGACCAGGCAGAGTCTTTCGAAAAAATTTTAGGTTAAAGAGAAAGATAAATGATTTATTACCTTCCCTATGGAAGAGTTATGTGATCATGGTATAATTTTATGTATGGAGACAATGGATTCACTAATGATGTCTTGAATACTTTGAAATTAAAGTTCAAGTACCAAAGAAAGATGGCAACAAGGTTGTGTGTGTTTAGATGTTTGATGAAATGTCAATTCACAAACATGTAATACAGGATGGCCATAAAGTTTTTGTTCATGTGAATATTGATAGTAAGATTGATGATGACGCACTGTAGATGTATAACTTCTAACTATAAAATCCAATGAGTGCTAAATAACTTATTGGTTAAATCATGTCATATCTTTATCAGATATGGCTTTTAGTAGAGTGTTGTTTGAATGCTAAAATAAGTAATGCATGCTAGAATGAAGCATCAAATATTCAGTGATGAAGCCTTTAAAGTTACAGGGCTATATTTCTCTCAGAAATTTCAAAGATTTTCAGGTTGGAGATTTGGAGATGAAAAGCACGTTGCAATAAGCTGTTTACAATATTTTCGGTCAATAAAATATTCACTCACATCTAACGTTTAAATATATATTAAACATTTCTTATAATTATTTGGGACATATAAATCGAATCTGGGCTAGTTGGGAAAGGGTCAGTGAAAGGTGTTTTATCAGGCAAACATAACAGGTTCGTTTCCTGGAAATGACGTACAAATGACATGTGGCACCTTAATTCATGCAAGGGTACAAAAATTTGAAATAAGCAACTTTAACAGAAATACAGTTTCTATACAAGTATTTTGTCGTAAAATTAGGATTTTTAAACTCTAAACAATGAAAAACACCTAAAATTAGGGAATCTGTTTTCGCACTTTCATTCATATGATAGAATGATTATTTCCTCGCCTAGATTAAATGTTATTTTAGAAAAAGATATTCAAACAAATTACTTTGCTTTAATATTTTGTGGGGGGAGAATAATGTCGAGCAAAAGACGGAAGTAATTTAAATAAGCCATTCATAAGCAGGCAAAATTAGGAAAAGACATACGCTTCATACACAATTTCATCATCAAGATTTGTTTATTACGGACTTTAAACAATTTTGTACATTCACATAATAAGATCGTTAATGGGCAACACATGGTTAAAAATAAGTATACACTCTACAATCTCAGTCAGCATTAAGCTAATTTACATGAGTGTTGTGGTTAGTTAACTAACAAAGATGAGAATTTGCAATCTATTTTCACATATAAAGGTAACCTATTGTTCCAATAGTATGGTTAAATATCCATTAAAACATTTAATACTGCACTAGTGCGTTCAGTACTTATATATACCGAAATATATTGAGCCATATAACAGACCTGAATAAGCACTTGTTTGTTAATACATCAAATCTTTTGTGCTAAAATCTGGTAAGCTGTGGGATCGATATAGTCCAGACTTCCGTCGTTATTTACAAATATTTCGCTGAAACGTTTGAGTCCAATCGTTGAAATCATTTTGCCATCATGATAGTCTGAGGCAACATGGTAATTGAGAAAATCCAAGATCGACTTGTGCTGGTAGTTGACTGTGTGATAGTCACTTGAAAGAATTTCAAAACCACATTTCTTGAGAAGACCTTCTACCTCAAACTTTTTGATAAAGAATGGAACTGCCTTTTCATTTTCTTTATGTTCCTTTTTAAGTACGAGATGAGGATTGCAAAAAATCATTTCGTTTGCCTTTGTAAGCAATTGTGAATTTACCTCATGACTCTGTAATGCAATTATTCCTCCATGTTTTAAGCTCTCGAAGGCAACTCTCGCATACTCCTCCTTCCTTTCTGGAGAAAGCCATTGAAAACAAAATTGCTAAAATGAACATCGTAGTAGGATTTGTTTCGTTGATGAAAATCAGTAGAACTATCGCCATTCTCAAATACCAGGTTTTCGTGCAAGCTCAAATGCTTTTGCTTTGCATATTGAATACGCCCGACATCTGGATCTACGCCGACCACTTGACCATTTCTGCCAACAATTTCTGAAAGAAATGAAGTAAGCTCTCCCGTTCCGCAACCCATATCCAAGATTTTGTTTCCACTTTTAATGCCAGCTATTTCTATGAATTTCTTACCATAACTTACTTGTAAATCATTATTGTTGGAATATGCCACAGCAGTCTTATAACTCCTTTGATTAAACACCGCCTGTAGTTGTGCCGTCATTTTTGAACAAAATTTACAACTAACTGAGATGCTCAAGACAAACTCTTTGGTACTGTCAGTACTTTCAATACAAGTAATTATTGCTTGACTCCATTTTTATGGCAACGCTTACGTGTACAAATGACGTCAGTCAAAATGTAATTATTCTCAAATTATTTTTTTCCAGTTGAAACACAACGTTGTTTCGACGTCAATACTAATTTGAATTATGGTCGCAATATCTACCAATACTTCAAATGATATAACACGGACGTCATTTGGTCGACAGATTTCAATTTTTTAAATTTGTACGCATTTTTGTCATGACGTTTAAGGCTTAATAACGATGCTCAAACTTGGTGTGCGTTAGATTGAATTTAAATCAAAGTTTGAAATTTGACGTTATTCGATGTTTTTGAAGTGTTTGTTTGACCTTGTTCTAATTCTGCCATACAAGACAATGAATATAGTCCTAGTATTGAAATAAAATATAGCAGTATTATTATACAAAAGAAATGGTTTGTCAGTAGCTAATCTAAAATTTGAAATTGTTCTATAGCATTTTATCTTCGACACAACTTGAAGCTATACGAAGAGAATTGAGCATGCGACGGCATATCTATCCTATAATTATAGGTCAGATAGATATTTGCTGGAGCTTATTCATTGTAATATTTTTTACAATTTGAAGCGCATCACTTCTCTATACGCAAATGTGATGATTTAGGATTAAAAGGTCAGTTAACGTTCATTGTTAGATGTGTATTTGCTGTTTTATTATAAATTTGTAAAGTAATCGATCTTCTTATTTAACATTTAAGATTATTAAATTGTTTAGAAAAGTGGTAGCTAGATTTAAATAATTATATAGATAGAGTCAAAAGATTAAATATACAAACAAAACTAATATAACGAAAACATGTAAGTGTATTGAATCGTACAAAAGCGTTAATTTTATCTGTTGCCTTGTATTTACTTCGCATCTTGTAAATTCTTTCCGCACCATGATTCCAGCGCTGTTTCTACGTTGATTGAACAACATTGTTTTGACATCTATTTATTGTTGAAAGTCCGACCGAATTCAGTCAAAAAAAAACACTGACGAAGTCAACACCGTTATCAATTGACACTCTGCCAACCCATAACTAAATTATTATTGGCTTATTGTGTAAAAGTGCAAGCAGTACTGTTTTTAATCATACGGCGTAAATGTTTTAAAGTTCATTCACTAGAATTACGAAGAATGGAATTACTTTTCTAAGGAAACAAACAACAATTTTGTTGAAAGGTTTGCACTTTAAGAATAAAAGTTCGGGCTGGCTTTACCAAGTGAGTGCACAGCTACTTATTCAAATGACTATGCAGCTGTAATTCAAAACATTTGCTGCTGAACTACCAAAGCTACTAAACAGGTGGTCAAGAATAATCATCTGAAATTATTATACGGTGTGATGGCTTCAACGTCCACTTTTCTACGTCATTTAATTCCATGATATGACGTCGGTTTCATTTTATTAGTTTCTGAACAATTTGTGTAATTTTATAAGTAAGCATCAAATAACATAGCTACTGTTGAAGGAGCAAGGAAATTTGCAAGTGTATGGTAATGCTCTTCGCTTCAAATTTATAAACAGTCATTGTCTAACACTATTTTCAAAACAACAATTTGCTATCTTCGTTTCAAAGTTATGAAACACAGCATTTTATTTACCACATAGTCGGCTCTGCAATGCCATGCCAGAAAAACGCTGTGCTTTAAGTTTGAATTGCGTAAGTCAAGCAATATTTTGTAATAGCCGATGAATTTTGACGCATCCTTTGTTAATGCATGATGATTAGAAATGCTTGCATATATGAGGCTCTTCATAAACCCTCGATATTTTAAAGAATCTTAAGCATGATGATAACGGATAACACTTAAAAATCTTTAAAAATCTTTGCAATCAAAATGTGGAGAGCAGTTTGTGAAAATCTTGGAATTGGGCAAAGTATAATCCAGATTTTGTTATTCTTCAATTATTCTTTTCTGAATTCGAGTTACACATGCAATTTAAAACATGTTGACGTTGAATGAAGTCGTCTAAAAAATGCAATTTTTACTGATGATATTTAGTAGAGTATTTTAATGCTAGTATGAAATACTTGAAGTCACAATTTTATCGGCAAAAGATGCATGTTAAGCAGCCCAGCTACAGACGACTTCATTCAACGTCAACATATTTTAAATTGCATGTGTGACTCGCATTCAGAAAAGAATAATTAAAGAGTAACAAAATCCGGATTATACTTTGCCCAATTTCAAGATTTTCACAAACTGCTCCACATTTTGATTTGAAAGATTTTTAAAGATTTTGTAGTTTCATCCGGTATCATCATGCTTAAGATTTTTAAAATATCGAGGGTTTATGAAGAGCCTCATGCATGCATTACAAAATATCGAAATAAGACTCTTTAAAATATAGATGTTTTATCATTAACCTTTGTGAGTTGCAAGCTTAGATTGTATATTACCATATTACAACATAGTAGTTGTCTACGCACGCTAAATAAAATATTAAAGGACATGGGACATATATTTTTTCATGTCGCGATATCATTCATTGCAGTTTAGTATTCCGTAAAACATTATTTTTCCGGTTTGAAAATATATATTTAAAGCGCAATTTAGAATGAAAGTTTGCTTATTTCAAGGGCTGTTCCGCCATCTTGAAATGAGCAGCCAAAATAATTATATTTCATATGTGACGTCACAACAGGGAGACTTTGTCGCTGATGAATATTGTTTATATTGCAAATTGACAAGCATTCTCATTTATTACGCAAAGTTTGGGACTTTACACTGCTGTTATAGCACTCAAAATGGAAAATATTAACAAAGATGCTATGGTTCAGTCATATATGTTTGAGTCAATGCCAGATGAATTTGTAGAGAGTGAGAATTCTGACTCAGAAAGTTCTTCGTCGAGCGAAGTAGATGATCAGATAGACGAGGAGTTTGAAGCTATGTATAGTTGGCGTAAAACTTCACTCAGTTGCTGTAAATGCGGCCATTGTGAGTTTATGGCAAAACGATTGAATGCTTTTGCTTTCATGAAAAGCGGTTGAATATGACGAATATGATGGCAAACTTAAATCGGCACAGGATGCAGGCTTGTCTTGCGTGACTGAACTTGCTTTCTTCAATCAAACATATCGGCAAATGTCCTTGAAATAGATACTTGGCAGTATATTGAAGAAAACAGTCCGTTAGGTGATGACGAACTTGCAGTCATACAAAAAATATACCGTCATGTTGCGTATCGAAGATGTTCGAGATGGATTTTCCATATTCTTGGCAAGAAATGTCGAAGGCCATTTCCATCTTTGGGCGTCCACATATGACGCACAACTTTACCATCCGTTTCTACCTACATCCTACCGCAATGACGCATTGCGGTGAGGAAGTGTTCTCTTAACATGACTATACTATTTTACATCAACATAATATCCGTTATATCTTATAATCTATAATATGACACAGTCACACACTACACAACATAACATTACAATTTACAACAAAATCTGCTGTCTACAAAAATACAATTCTTAAAACTTTCTTCTATTTGTAATCATCTCTCAGACTTTGGCGAATATGTTTCATGAAGCTTTAGCTGTCATATTTGTTGATGTTTTTAATCGTCTACGATTTCCTACGAGTGGAAATGAAAATGGACACGAACAAGCTCCGATACAACCATACAAAATGTATACTGAATATATAAATATATAACTTATTTTTCTTTATTTATTTCATTATATATATTGCATGTACATGATGTAAAAAAAGTGTGAAAAAACGTTTTTTTAAGAATAATTCACAATGACTTCATCAAAACACATATAAAAGTATATTGTGTTACCAGATATGCCTCCCAGTTGTGACGTCATTGCATAAATCTGCATATCACATTATATTCAAAACAAATCAAAATGGCCGCGGAACTTTTAAATTGGAGTCAGAAAAACCTTTGTTACATGAAGACAAAAACTTTGGTTGAACTAACAAAGGTATATTATAAGTCTATGCGATATTTCCCGTTAATTAAGCCTAACTTAAAATATACGTTCCATGTCCTTTAAGTTTACTTTAGTAACACAACAGAACAGCGACTGCAGTCAAGGAAAACCTTGTTCATATGTTATGATAATAATGGTGGCAGGATAAGTAATATTGAAAATTCAAGAAAATCGTCGAGTGTGCCATATTGTTATCACTTTTGATAATGTCAAAACCCATTTCTTAACAAGAACATAGCTACGGCATTAGCTTTAGAGCATAAGAAATATAATCTTTTCAATTAAATTTGTCAATGTTTGAAGGTCAGTCGAAGCACGTTGCTTCAGACGATCTTATTAGGGCTCACAAATCATAACAATAAAAAACTTATGTTATGCAAAGAATCATTTTCGTTTGAAATTTATACAAACAACATGCAGAAAGGATTTAAAAACGCAAATGGAAACGACGTCGAATAAATGACGTTGTGTGACGTAGAAATTCGATATTGGAGTCATCGTGTCACGTAATGTAAATTTGTTATTCGAGGATTGTTGACGTTATGCTCTGTATGTATATATTGTATAATTTAGTTCAAATGTTTTGACCCTAAGAAAACCAATTAAGTACTTGAGCATGATAATCATCATAATTAAATATGGTTGAATCATCGCTTGCTATGTTGTTATAACGGAATTGAATTCGATTGCACGTATTTCAAATTTTCCTAAAAATCAAACGTAAAAAACATCTTCGTCGAATTATTACTTAAACAGTGTTAGAAGAAAAGCATTGAATGACATCCAACGAGACAAATACAATGCAAATAAAAACAATCTTTGAAAAGCAAGTGCATGTCGTCATCTAATACACTTTAAACATAAACTAACATATGGTCATAACATTTGTTACTTTGCTAAAGTAAATCATGTCGAATGCCTTCCCGTTTTCTAACTTCATTTTCTTTTCTCTTAAACAAAAACAGAACAAATTTAAGAAATTTAGTTGGTGAAAAAATATAGACAACTGCAGACTATGATATTTATGGCTTTTATACTACAACATACGTCAAGCGAACAAAGGAAAAATGCTCCTAATCTTCTCTCATTCCAAAGTGTGTTTTAAATGAGTGCATTTGATACACTGCAGAATGTAGTAACTAAAATGTTTAAATGTAGGCTATAAATACATATTGCAGCATTCAGATAAGCTATATGTTAAATGACGTAACAAAAACACGTTTCTGCAGCAGCGTATAATGTGTTGTTTTCATAGTTGTTATTTTACTTCAATCGATTTATCATCAAAAGAAATCATAATTTATGGAAAGAATGGCGCATCTAAAAAATTATTACGTATTATACCAATTAATTGGTTTTATGAAAACATATTACATTTGTTCCACAGATTTCCATATTTAAGATAACAGTTTTTTACGTAATCAATCAGGTTAACAAACATCAAAACTACGTATACAAACATCGCAAAATTCAAGAACTTAATATACTGTCAAGAAAATGACGTGAAAATAAAGTTGTTTTGAGGTTAATCGACCATATAACCTAAAGTATACTTTACATTGACGTCAAGACAAAACGTATATCTATTGAAGGAAAATTACTGAAGCTAGTGTTTACATCTATTATGACGTCATGAGTACACGTGAAAGTTACAATAAAAGTGATGCAAGCCGATGACTTCTTCGAAACCAAAGTTGCAGAGTCTTATTTAGATAAGATAAGTCGTTCGTACTTATTTCGATTATCTCAGTGAATTGTAAATTATTTTCCAAATAATGACAACATCACTGGAAGTGCTTAACAAACAAATTTATTGGGCTGCTGAAAGCTACTCTAAATATAACAATTTTCAACTACAACAAGGCAAGAAGTTCGCAGCAAAAGTTGGCGTTAAACAAGATGATAAAATTTTAGATATGGGCTGCGGAACGGGAGAGCTGACCTTGTGTATCGGAGAGATTGTTGGAGAAAAAGGTCGAGTGGTTGGTGTTGATCCGGACATAGGAAGAATTCACTACGCCATTCAACACAATTATAAAGTGAATAAAAATATATCATTTCAAAATGGTGACAGTTCAAGTGAATTTGTACAGCGAAACAAATCCTTCTACGATATCCATTTCAGCAATTTTTCCTTTCAATGGCTTACATTAGATGAAAAGAAAATGTTTTTGCAAACGGCTTTCGAATGTCTGAAACCAAACGGGACAATAGCTCTCCAGAGTCACGAAGCCTATCCGGAAATAGCTCTCTATGTGGAAAGCCTAATCTCAAAGAGACAGAACGCTTTGAAGAATATTAATGATAAGAAACCGATTCAATTTTTTTATGTCCAAAGCTGAAACAACATCCCTTATTGAGGAAATGGGCTTTGAAATCATTTCAAGTGATTATGAATTTGCAAAACAACGATATAAAACACTAGACGATTTCCTTAACTTTTTTAGTGCCTCTGATTATCATGACACGAACATGATTTCCAGCAGCGAAAGAAAAGAGTTGATGGCACGTTTTGGCAACGAAGATTGCAGTGTGGATTTGGTGGACGATACAATATACCATATTATTGCAAGAAAAAAGTACAGAAGACGTTAAGTAACTGTGTTTACTATTTCAGTTGCTTTGTCGTACTTAATTATAACATATTATAGTTATTATCAACGTTTAAATTACAAGCTTACAATTTCCTATTGGAATATTTTATCATTACAATGATGTATCATTACAAATAATACTAACGTCTGAAAACTTTATGGACGTCACATGAATGTTAAGTGTTTAGGTACAAAGTATAGTCTCATATAATTCAGATTTGAAAGTTCAATGAAATCAGAAATAATAGGAATGGAAATAATTTCGTAGTCATCAGCATTTGAATTTGTTTTGAGTTATTTTTGTAACATTTTCTTTAATGCGTATTGAGCAATGTAACCTTAGCGTTGTAGGCGTACAAGGTTTGCAGATGCTATACTCCGAAAAGCCTTTTTACCAAAGGTTTCAGCATCGAGATCCCTCTAAATATCGTTACAGTTGGGACATTTATTATTCACTTATTTGTACACATTTGTTCACAATAACAGTTATAACCAGAAACTGTTACAGTATTGCAATCATTCAGTTAGAGAAGATATGGAGTCGAGTATAGCAATTATAAATAAAATTTAGAATTAGAAGACTGTAAAATGAAGTAAGTAAATTTTTCTTTTGCATTGAAATCGAATGCTTGTCTAAAAGCGCTTAATTTTGTATTTCCTTACCAAAACTTACTACTATACCAATTTGTACAATTGAAATACCTCAAAACTTCGTTAAAACTACCAAACCAATACGGCGTCATCAACTTTAAGTATTTAATAAACTAAAAACTTAATTAACAAATTCTCAGTGTTTTTTCAGCATTATCAACACGTCGTACATTAATGCACGTGCCGCATGCCCTATAAAAAAAGTGTTAGACAATGACTCTTTATGAAATTAAAGTATAATGACGCAGAATGTGGACATTGGAATCATCGTCCCATGTAATGTAAATCTGTCATCTAAGGATTCTCGACGTTATGTTTTGTATACATACTGTAATTTAGCTCCATATTTTGATCATAAGCAAACCAATTAAGCACTTGACTATAAAAATCATCATAATCAACATGGTTGAATCATCGATTGCTATGTATATGTTATCAGGAAATTGAGTTGGTTGCATGTACTTCAAATTTCCCCCAAAAAAATTTAAAAAACAACCTCGTCAAATTTTTATTCAGACTGCTTTAAATGAAAGCATTGAAGAATATCCAACCACACAAATACAAAGCAAATTAAAAAAGAAAGCAAGTGCATGCAATGTATTACACTTTAAACATACACTAATATATGTTCATAATTAAAGTAAATCATGTCGAATGTCTTCCCGTTTTTAAACACCACTGTATCTTCTCTTAAGGCAAAAAAAAGAACAAATTTAGGTACTTTATTATTGGTGAAAAAGAATAAACAACTGCAACTATGATCTATGCATGACTTTTGTAATACTACGGAAAGCAGACACAGCAGTGAATATCCTAATCTTCTATCGCTCTGCAGTAATTTAGTATATTTGATACACAGCAGAACGTAGTTAAATGTTTGAATAAATGTAGGCTATAGATACATATTGCAGCATTCAGATTACCTATATGTTAAATGAATTAACAAAAACACGTTTCTGCAGCAGCGTATAATTTATGGAAATAATGGTGCTCATAATCCTTGTTAAACGTGTAAGAAAAATTCTTACGTAATACCAATTAATTGGTTGTATGAAAATTTATTACAATTGTTTCACTGATTTCCATTTTTAAGAAAGCAGTTTAATACGTAATCAATCAGTTTAACAAACATCGAAACAATACGTATACAACTTCGCAAAATTCAAAAAACTTAATATGCTGTCGAGAAAATGACATGAAAATAAAGTTGTTTTGAGGTTTATTGACGATGTAACCAAAGTCCACTTTACATTGACGTCAAGACAACAACGTACATCTATTGAAGAAAAATTACCTGAGCTAGTGTTTACATATATTATGACGTCATGAGTACAGGTGAAAGTTACATGAAAATGACTGCAAGTCGATGACTTCTTTGAAACCAAAGTTGAAGTGTCTAATGTAGATAAGATAAGTTGCTCGTACTTATTTCAATTATCACAGTGAATTGTAAATTATATTGATAGGTTTATGATTTTATGCGTTGATTGGATAAAAAATATGTTGAAAATTATTGAAACAAAAACACAGGAAAACGTCAGTATATGCAGTATTCAAGACAATTAATGTTTGTAATACAGCCTTATGGGATTTTGTGACTTTCAAGTGTAATCGTTTTCAATCTTTTATGAACAAACAAAATAAGCAAATATCTTACTTGTGAAAGCGATGTGCTCCTTTTTGTGAATGTTAGAACATCCAACAATTGTACAACGATTCGGCATTTTTAAAATATATTTTTTGTTTACGAACAGAATTAACTGCAATTAAAGTTCGACTGGAGACTGGAAAATCAATATAAAATCACACCTGGAAATGTCGAAAATATTTTTTTCTGCATAGCAGTCATTCAGGGGGAAATAGGCACTTTACGTTGCCGCCATGGTTTTTACATCATAGCTTTAGTCTCCTTAGCTGCTCCAGTTTTAATAGAACTCAATGAAAGAAACAAAAAAATATGTTTTTGCTATTTAATAAAAGGAAGGAAAACCTAAAAAATATAATCTATAATGTTTGACGCAGTCAGTGGAATTGTGTACATGCTTATAGTTTTCGGATGCAAAAATTTCCAGCGTTATCTGCTTATGTTAACCCAGAGACTGGCTGACTACAATTAATTGGACTTACATCATTTTGATTCGTCATGGCATAAAACAAGTTCCCAAAAGACATGATATCTTCATAATACAGAATACGATCCAACGATTCAAAAATATGCAGATAAATTTGTTTTACTCTACTTTTTAAAATTGTCGGTTTGACATGGTTTTTGACATGACGTGTAATGTATAGACTGCAGTTTTTTCATTTGAAGTGATAGCGTTTATGTAAGTTGTTATTCGTCGTCACTGTAGTAAATGTACGTTGAAACCTCGTTTTAAGATTACGTTTACACAACTCTGGATCGGTCTGAAAACGGTAAAAAGTAACAGAGCTAACTACACGGGAGCGGAATTTCTTTCCGCAGATGTGCAACCACACGTCAAAAGTCACTTTTCCGGAGAGGTGTGAGCACACTTTCTAAACGTGGTCAAACGAAAACTGATCGTTGAGCATCGTGTAATCAGTGATATTTCTCTGCACTTTAGATACCAGTCCTCTTCAATTCCTTCCGCGTTTTGGTGCATAATTGAAAATGGTAAACATTTTATACTTAGGAAAGCATTTAATGACGGATTTATTTTACAAAACAATGTTTTTATGACTTATGCCTAAAGATATAAGCATGTAGCAATGTGTAAACGAGAAGTGGTGTCATTTACTCATTCTTCTACAAACAACTAACGAACCTTTAGAGTAAGAAACATTATATCTAAACACCCGCCAAACTTTATCGGAATTCTTTGAGCGTCAAATCATCGGTAGACTCTAAATTTTCATTTGGCAGACGTTGATACGTGAGGAGTAGTCTGTGTGATCACTTTAACCATGTTTCCCTATTTTTCAATTTTTTTGTTATACATCATGTGTAACCTAAAATGCGATTAAATATTTGCAATCACTAGCAATGCACGAGGCAACAACGAATTGCTAGAGCAACAGAACGTCTCTTTTCCCCCCAAAATAGTAATAAAAGCGTCACATACTTGTAAATAAATATAAATCATACCCCATAGAGTCTCATACCCCGTAGAGTATCATAACGCACAGAGTATCATACCCCAAAGAGTATCATACCCCATAGAGTATCATACCCCACAGAGTATCATACCCCATACAGTGTCATACCCCATAGAGTATCATACCCAATAGAGTATCATATCCCATAGAGTATCACACCCCACAGAGTATCAAACCCCATATATCTTACCGTCTCACGGCTTGTTTGTATGGAAGCCAAGCCGCCCGTTTACCGACATAGCCCGTTAAGCAAGATCTCCTTACGTAGTATATAATATATTAAAATTCTTTTTGTGTTTATATGACGACATGGACTGGTCTGCTTAGCGAGATCTCACATAGCACAGGCGAGATCTCGTCTGCCGGGATGAAATTTTTCTAATGTATACACTTAACTGCCGAACTAGTCCGTTTGCCGAGCTAAATTTTAACTATTTGGGCTTGCGTGTGATAACATATTAAAATGGTAAAATTCGTGCACGTGTAAAAGTGAGCAAAATAGACACGAGAATGGTTAAAAGAAAGAACTTTCGCTGCGATACAAAGATAATGGAGCATTTTATTGATAATCTGTCTGATTATAAGTAAAAGATGTTTTATAAAAGCTTTGATATTGACTGCGAAAAAACTTCTCGGCAAGCAAGATGAACGTCATATAAAACACATCAAAAAATTCATCTCGCTTACCGGGCCAGCCCGGGACAAAATAAACAGACCCTCGGACAGTTTTGAAACAGAAGTTATTGATGATGTAGTATTTATAGCAAAACATAGTTTTCACTTTAACATTCAGTGATACTGATAATGAACTTCTCGTTAAATATTGTGAGAATTGTTACTTTCCAGGTACTTTGCTTCGTACAATGTGAGCATATAAACTCGGCTGCGTAACATGAGTCTAAGTTAAAGCGTTTGACTAATTTAGAAATGATTTTAACAGTTTTTGCGTTATTTCAATCAGCATTTAGCACTAAGCA